GGGGGTTGGAGCATAACTGTTACACGAGGGGTATGTCTGGAGGGGATATGGGGTCTTCAGGGGGGTTAGGGGGGTTGGTGGGGTGCTGGGGGTGCGTCTTTTGTGGTTGCAGGGGGTTGTTCAGTGGCTCACAGGGAAAAAAATTAAAAAAAAAAAAAGGGATTCAGTCGACAGCAGCACAAAATTGCAACTACAAAGCATTTTGCAACATCGAAACAGGGTCCTTATGGACGATTCAGTAGACAGCAGCACAGTCTCGACGTCCATGACATCATTGAAAACGCAGTCCACCCCGGACATGGACGAAAGAGACGACGACTCGAGGAGGAAGAAGCAGATGATGAAGAAGCGGAAGCGGAGGGAGCAGTAGAAGAAGAAGAAGAAGGAGACGAAGAACGTTTCTCTCTCTCTCTCTCTCTCTCTGCTGCTACTCGTGGCAGACGACGTGTCGGACGATGATGATGTGTCACTCGACGACGACGCGTCACTCGATCGCACTTTCATTTCCTCTGCGGAAGACGCAGTGCTGCTGCTTGCGGACTCATCGTCCTCGTGCACACACTTCCTCCTCTTCGCACTGGCTTTCTTCTAAACTTTCTGTGCCTTCCTCTTCTTTGTCTGCCGAACAACAGCACGCTTCTCTTGCAAGGTCCCTGGCGGTGTGGCTGTCTTGTGTCCCTTGCCTCGTCTGCCTCGGCTCGACGGTTCCGCTGTCTCCTTCGGCTTGTTCTTCCCTCCTTTCTTTCTGCCCGCCAAACTCTTCACTTGGCGCACCAAGCTCACGTTGATTTCAGGCGGCGACGATGACTCACGTTCTGCAGCTGCATCTTGTGGGTGATCAAGTCTAGCAGCTCGGACCCTCCTCTTGTACATTATGCCCTGCGATCCGTCCCCGGCCTCCGTGGGAATATCCTTGCTCAACAACTGATTGGGAGGGGTCGGTCCAGTGAATCTGGCGCAATCCGGAGTCTGTCCAGTGACTCTGGCCCAGTCCGGAGTCTGTCCCTCGGAATCACTCCTCATGGGGGACATTGCAACCAGGTGTTCCCCGAAGTCTTTCTTGGAACCTCTTGCAACAATGGGGGCCACGAGGTGCAATAGGGAGGCGAATCCGTCAGCCAGCGGCAACCCCGGGTCCGGAGTGGAGAACACATCGTCGCCGGTACACTGGGTGCCCTCCGCTGCTCCAGGGACCGGGTGGTCCTTGTCCGCACCGATGTCTCCATCCTCACGTTCAGCAGCGCCAGGAACTGGGACTTTCGTAGACACACCAAAGTTTCGAACATCCCCCGCAGCAGCATTGTCCCCGTCAACATCCGCCGATCCCCCGTTTGTCGCCCCCCGCCCTGTGGGTGGTTCCTCGACCGCAGGTCGCCGGTGAGGAGTGTGTTGCGCGCCCAAGACTGTGCTGGTGCCATGAACTGAAGCCACACCACCGGCTGCGCAGCTGCGCAGTCGTGTACGGGCACCAGTGTCGCCCATCAATGACACCGTAGCAACCGTCGAAGGGCCACTGGATGCAGGGTCAGCCAGCGGCGTGATGTCGACATGTGTTGCGGAACATGACCCGCCGCCCGACCGCCTGCCAAACCGCTTGTCTGTGAGCTGCACTTCGACTAACTCATCATCACCATCGCTGTAGTCTCTGTCGTCCTCCTCCTCATCAATAGCAGCAGCGGTCTTCCCGTGGTCGTCATCCGCGAGACGGTGAGGGTGGTAGGAAAGATCAAGGAGCCATGCCCCATCATCCGCCCCCTCCTCCTGAATCTCCCGCACGTCGAATCTGGTGCTCTTCGATCTGCGCCCTCAAGATTTCGACCAGTTGGCAGCCCTCCTCTTCACCTTTGCGGGGTCGTACTCCCCTTCTCGCATGAAACCGTCGAAAGGAGCGTCGTCCTCGGGTGTCTCCCACTCTAGCTGCTCGGTGTTCACGAATCCCATCTTCGCCTTTGACATGCGCATCAACTTCTTGTTCCAGTGGATGAAGACGAGCATCTCCAGGTTCTCCGGGCTCATCAGATTCCTCCTCTTCGAGTGAATGAGATCGAACGTGGACCAATTCCTCTCACAAGGAGAGGCTGTGGTCCACATGCTGAGCACTTTGACAGCGATCTTCATTAAGGTTGGGTGCCTCTTCCCATAAGTCAACCACCACTGCGCCATAGACACGTGACCGCCCGTCAAAGCCTCCTCATAGTTCTTCCCGAACCATGTGATGGAAACTCTTAAGGGAGTTCCAACACTCTTTGTACTCCTTTGAATTCTTCGGGTGAACCAAAGCAAAGTGTGTCAAAGTGTTCGCAATCTCCTCGGAATCCATGTCGTCGAAGAGTCGAGGTGATCGGTGGAGTGGGTGCAACATCCAAGTCGCTGCATGCACAGGCAGAGCCATCATCCGCACACGGTGTTTGACCTTCGCCATCACGAACTCCCTTGTTTCGCAATCCATGGGTAGCACGACCATTCTCTTCTCCAGCGTGATGCCCAACGACCACATGTGCATACCCATCCTCCCATCTTTGTCCATGTTCTTCATCAAGGCGAAAACGGGCTCAAGCAAGGTGCATGCCCTCTCCACGGTCAACCACCAAGCAGGGTCTCGTATGAGCTCCTTGCACGACCGCGCCCGTGTCGCTGCTGTCCCGTCCCATGGAGAATCGTCCCACCGCGGGTTGGAAACATTGTGTAGCAACACGCCCTCACACTCCCGAATTCGCTGCAGCATGAGGAAGTTTGTGCCAAATCTAGTCTCCTCGGGCTAGATCAACTCCAACGGCCTCCAACATCCGTGTCCTGTACTTCCTCCTACTTTTTCGGAACATCGCCGACGCCCGTTGATGTCTCTTGATGAAGGTTGTGATCTCCCTGCCCTGCAGAATCACCTCCCCGACCCATGACACCGAAGCATGTCAGACATGAGCAAGTTGCACACATGGCATGCGCACGGCACCCATGGAATGCTACTTATCGCAGGGTCCTCGTGCTCATTCAAAATCTTCCTGGCAGCAATGTCGACCTGTGCTGAGTCGGTGCAGATGGCGTTGACCCTATGCACCCCCAACTCCCTTATGACCTCCTCCCACATCCTCGCCAAAGCCGGAGTCGACTTGTCCTTCCCCTCCATGTCCACACTCTTCACCATGACCGCCCCTGAATCGCCAGCTGCAATGAAGTTCATGACCGGCCTGTTGCTGGTCGTTGTTGTACCATCCGTCATTAAGGTGAGGCCTGTGACATCCCACACCTCTCGGATGTTGTCCAAATCATTGTCCACCACCTTGTACTCCGCGGGCAGGGCCTTCGTCCTCAAGTAGTTGTACCCCGGCATTCGCAAAATCTTCCTCGACCTTGCTGCCAGGTTCAAGATCCTTTCCAAGTTCTTGTACGAGTCTGACCGCGCGGCATTGAAGGTGATGACATTCTCAAAGAAGAACGAAGCAACCCCCTGGTCGAACTCCTTCTGCAGCTCATCCACTACGTAACTGGTCATGGACGACTGCTGCGCACCCGATGGAGGTCGCGGAGGGCGAGCGACAGCCAGAACGGGACCCCGCATGTGCTCAACAATCTTCGACGGGAGGTCAGGCCCCCTGGAATCCGAAGCGGCTGCATAGGCAACAAAATCTGCCCTCTCCCGCCGTTGAACAGATGTCGAATCATAACCGACACCACCGCCTTGCACCCCTGTTGAACCTGTGTCACGGCCACCATCTCCCACTGCCGATGACGTGTCGGGCTCCCCCGATGCACCAGCTCCATCACCCGATGCAAGATCCTGCAGATCCTCAAGATCTGCCGAACGGCCCTGTAAGTCATAGTAGTCGTTCAATTTCGCCACCAGCGCAGGGAGCAATTTCACATCGGGTGCTTGCTCCGAAGCACAGAAAGAATATCACCGGTGGGACGGGGACAGCGGGCATTGGCCGACGTTTGGGTGTGGTGATTCATGACTTTGTTGAGCGTGCCGATGAACTCTTTGTTGCACAGACTGCAACGCAACCTCCACGAGTTGTGCGACGTGTCGGTCGTCACCTTCTTCCCTCTCTCCGCCCATTTCAAAAGCACCGACTGGCTGAGCGCCCGTTCTCTCTCAGCACCTGTCTCAGGCTCGAATGGTACTCGATTGCCCGCCATGGTGGTCGCAGTGGAGGTCCGAAAAAAAAAAAGAAAAAAAAAAAGGAGGTGGGTGATGGTAGGAGGAAGAAGAAGAAGAGGAAGAAGAAGGAGAGAAGATGGAGATGAAGAAGAAGAAGAAGAAGAGGAGGAGGAAGAAGTAGAAGGTGGAAAGAAGATGGATATGAAGAAGAAGAAGAAGAAGAGGAAAAAGAGGAAGAAGAATAAGAAGAGGAAAAAGAGGAAGAAGAAGAAGAAGAAGAAGGGACTGCCCGACGAATTTCAGAAAAAAAATAAAATAACGGAGGTGGGTGAGGGTAGGAGGAAGAAGAAGAAGAGGAAGAAGAAGGAGAGAAGATGGAGATGAAGAAGAAGAAGAAGAAGAAGAAGAAGAAGAAGAAAAGGAGGAAGAAGAAGAAGAAGGTGAAGAGAAGATAAATATGAAGAAGAAGAGGAGGAGGAAGAAGAAGAAAAAGAAGAAGAAGAAGAAGAAGAAGAAGGGGTGGGAGGTGTGTGCCCGCTGCCCGACGAATTTTAGGAAAAAAAAAAAAAAAAAAAAGGTGCGTGATGGTAGGAGGAAAAAGAAGAAGAGGAAGAAGAAGGAGAGAAGATGGAGATGAAGAAGAAGAAGAAGAAGAGGAGGAGGAAGAAGAATAAGAAGGTGGAGAGAAAATGAATATGAAGAAGAAGAAGAGGAGGAAGAAGAAGAAGAAGAAGAAGAAGAAGAAGAAGAAGAAGGGGTGGGAAATATGTGCCCGCTGCCCGACGAATTTCAGAAAAATAAATAAATAAAAATGGAGGTGGGTGATGGTAGGAGGAAGAAGAAGAAGAGGAAGAAGAAGGAGAGAAGATGGAGATGAAGAAGAAAAATAAGAAGAAAAAAAAAAAAAGAGGAGGAGGAAGAAGAAGAAGAAGGTGAAGAGAAGATGGATATGAAGAAGAAGAGGAGGAGGAAAAAGAAGAAGAAGGTGAAGAGAAGATGGATATGAAGAAGAAGAGGAGGAGGAAGAAGAAAAAGAAGAAGACGAAGAAGAAGAAGAAGAAGACGAAGAAGAAGAAGAAGAAGGAGTGGGAGGTATGTGCCTGCTGCCCGACGAATTTCCGAAAAGAAAAAAAAAATCGGAGGCGGGTGATGGTAGGAGGAAGAAGAACAAGAAGGAGATGGAGAGCAAATGGAGATGAAGAAGAAGAAGAAGAAGAAGAAGAAGAGGAAAATGAAAAAGAAGAAGAAAAAGAATAAGAAGAAGAAGAGGAAGAAGGGGTGGGACGTGTATGCCCATTGCCTGATGATACAAGGAACTTGAAGAAAGAAAAAAAAAAACGAAGTTGGGTGAACTTCATAATGGCCGACGAATTTCCGAAAAAAAAAACAAGAAGAGATAGAGGAAGAAGAAAAAGAATAAGAAATTTAAGGCAAACTTGACAATGTGCGGTTTTCCGAAATGAGAAGAGTAGTAGAAGAAGAAGAAGAAGAAGAGGAAGAAGAATAATAAGCAGAAGAAGGAAATTAGGGCAAACTTGACAATGTGCGACTTTTCGAAATGGAAAGACTAGAAAAAGAAGAAACAAAAAAAAAATTAGGGCAAAGTTGAAGAAGAAGAAGAAAAAAAAGAAGAAGAAGAAGAAGTTGAAGTTCTTCTCTCTCAGCCAGTGGCTGTCAATGTCTACCACGGATACACTGGTCAGTTGCGGAAGAAAACGGCAACCTTTCTTGAATGTCGCAGAGAACAACCTAGGAGTTGCAGCCTTGTCTCCCCCACCATGACCAACTCTCCCTGCCACGACCAAGTTGCCCACATTCTTCTCACCCTGCCTGAGCATTGCAGTTGCCCACACTCGCGGCTGCCAACAAATGTCACGGCGGTAGAATGGGAAGAGTGTGGGCAAGCACACTCTTTGTACTACCGCCGACCAGGGAAAAGGCAGTGTCGACCGTCGGCGGCCTCCCAGACCGTGCCCCGATCGACCGACCCCCCTGGTACCGGCCCAAAATCCAAAAACTGGGCCTTTGGGGTGGGGGTGGCCGCCGCGGAAAAATTGCGGCAGGCCGACACCGCCGATCGGTCGGCCCCGACGGGCAAAATGGTCGGCGGGTCGGCGGCCGACGGACCGAGGCCCGCCGACGGTCGGCCTTTGCAACTCTGGACTCGTTGATTTAAACGAATTTTCCATATTTATTATCTCTCGCTGAAAATTATTGGATTTTTTCTAATTATCACCCTTGATATAACCTGGAGATTATTGCGAGTGTGATGCACATAACCTACCTAATCCGCATGGTTCGCTGAGTGTCATGCGAAAACTCAGATGGACACTTAATCATCAAACGATAACTATTACGGACACTATCATATATCGGTCCATGATTATATCGGTAGATGGACCGGAGAAACCCGATTTTGGTTACTGTGGCTTGGTGAGATTGGTACGACTATTAGTCCGGTGCTGGAACGGGACTTGTGGTGCTTGGTCTGGTCTGGAACTGTCGCGACTTACTCCGATTCGATGTCATTAATTTTGTAGAATTTTGGGCCCACGGCAGCCTGTTGTCGGCGGATGGTTCACAACGGATGGACATTATTATTCCATGGCATGATTATTAGCTATGGCTGGCCACTGTTGTTTTTGATCAGGCACGACAACTCTTAGGTTTCATGCAGCGTTTGGATTGAACCGGAACCGATTTACTTCGAGTTTCTCATTACTATCCCGGTCCGCCTACTGACCTACACTGACCGGTAGTAACCTGCTTCTGAATTGGTGCAGTTTGCTTGCGGAAAATTAGTCTGAGAATACATTACTCTGGTGGATCTCAATCAGGCGAAGTACTATTTTTTATGAGAGCCCTGTACTGCAACATCAACTGGTCCGATATCCGGTATGCTGGACCTGCACATCTACGCTGGTACCACTGATGTCCCGGGCTGAAATTGAAGCTAATACCTGAGGGTTAGGCCTTTGAGACACGTGTTGGTACCCGAGGGCAGGCCAGCCTTTGGGCTCGAGGTCGTGGCTTATCCAAAAAACACATATAGAGACAACCAGCGTCACAAAAAAAGGGGAAGGAATTCAGACATGAGAGAGAGGGTTGCGTGTCTGGTGTACCCCGCTAACGCTAGCACTCCAATCAGGGTTCGGATGGTCTGATTGGTGAAGTAGGGGGAGGTACACTGCGATAGGGGGGAATTGCGTGTCTGGTGTACGCAGCAGTCCAGCATCTCACTTTGAGGAAAGATGTTCCCAGCGCTAGAGGCGGGCCGGGGGAAATTCGAGCAACGAGCCCGGCGTGCGCAACATGCCAGTTTAGGGGGACGTGCTCCTGGTCGTGGAAAGGCGCAAGGGGAGGAGGTGTCGCATGCCAAGAGAGGGGAAATAAAACGGTGTGTCCGATGTCTATAGGTAGCGAGTTTATCGCTGGTTATGAGATCAACCAAGCGCTGGTGAAGTGAGTGAGTTCATCGCCGGCTATGAGATTAACCAAGCGCTGGTGAAATGAGCGAGTTCATCGCTGACTATGAGATCAACCAAACGTTGGTGAAGTGAGCGAGTTCATCGCTTGCTATTATAAGATCAAACAAGCGTTGGTGAAGTTAACGAGTCCATCGCTGGCTATGAAACCAGCCAAACCGGCTGGAAATGAGATATGATAAGCGCAGTGATATAAGAGCAATTGAATGCGATGGTAATGAAATCTGATAAGCACAGTGATGAGAGACCAGCCAAACGGAGCGGTAATAAGATCTGATAAGCACAGTGACATGAGACCAGCCAAATGCGTTGGTAATGAGATCTGACAAGGGAAGTGATATGAGACCAGCCGAATGCGTTGGTAATGAGATTTGACAAGCTAAGTCATATGAGACCAGCATGCGCTGGTAGTGAGACCCGACAAGCACGGTAAGGATATCAAATATAGCGTCAGTAATGAGACTAGCCAAATGGGCTGGTAATGAGATCTAATAAGCACAGTGATGAGATACCAGCTAAACGGGTTGATAATGAGATCTGACAAGCGCAATGATAAGAGACCAACCGAATGCGCTGGTAGTGAGACCTAGTGAGCACAGTGAGAAGATCAACCTTAGCGCCAGTGACGAGACTAGCCAAACGCGCTGGTGACGGGATCCGCCAAACACGGTGAGGGGCGAACCTGAAACTCTGGTAATAGAGATCGATCATGCAACTGGTGATGGGATCAGCGAAACTACCGGTGACGAGATCAACCATTACAACCAAAGATAGGGAATTGTTGTGAGCACAAGCGCGTTCAAGCATACGGTCAGGGATTGTTCGCTAAGGCTAGCATGTTATTCACATCGGCCCCACACTGTCATTAAGCTTACTCTAATCTGAAAGGTTGTGAAAACCAGCTGAAAACACGGTTGACAAGTGTTGAAGGCTTGAGGCGCAAATCTCTGTAATCGAGATCCCAAAACATTCAGAGTATCAGGTATTTATTTCCCGAGTGACTGTCCAACAGATTCAGACTCAGACAAAACCAATGATACTTAAACCGCGCGAAACCTATACATATATATATAGAGAGAGAGGGAGAGAGGGTGAGAGTGAGTGAGAGAGCGAGAGAGAGAGAGAGAGAGAGAAAAAAAAAAAAAAAAGGGAACTCTTAATGCCCTCCACACCGATCACCCTTCACAAAAGGGTCGTTGAGACTGATGTCG